CTAAAAAAGTTCCAAACTTCTATCTTCAAAAATACCAAAATTGGTATTTTTACCAAAAACCATTTCCGATAATTCAGTTATATAGCAGCTATAAGATATAGTCGGCCGATCCTTACGAAATTTGGTAGGTCGAATCAACTGACCAAATCAACTGAATCAAAATTTAATCCGTACTAAGTTCCAGCTTTCTATCTTCAATAACACGAAAGTTGGGTCATTTTCGATCGTTCAGTTATATTGAAGCTATAGAATATAGTCGGCCGATCCCTATGAAATTCGGCACGTCGTATTATTTTGCCAAAAATAGCTCCCGTGTAAATTTTCAACACTCTTACTCTGAAAACACAAAGTTATACCATATCCGATCAATCAGTTATATGACAGCTATACGATATAGTCGGCCGATCCCGGCTGTTCCGACTTATAGTGCAAAGTTTCAAGTCGATTGCATTAAAACTGAGAGACTAGTTTGCGTAGAAACAGACAGATGGACAGACGGACGGACGGACATGCTTATATCAACTCAGGAGGTGATCCTGATCAAGAATATAATACTTTATAGGGTCGGAGAGGTCTCTTTTACTGCGTTGCACACTTTTGGACAAAATTATAATACCCTCTGCAAGGGTATAAAAAGAACAGTAAAATAAACTCCTTGTTTCTATTATTTTCGATTAGTCTTGAGTTGAAATTTGTTCTTTTATTGCGAGGATGCGAGCTTGATGATTTCTATGTTGCTGCTGCCCGCGTTCTCCTACAGCTAGGAGAAGTACCTTGTAGTTTAGGAACAGTTGCGATTGTGAGTTTATGATCCAATTGAGGCTGCTAGTTCCTAGTCTTAGGTTGATCTTCTTGCCTTGGAAATGCTTTCTCCAGGTTAGTCGACTACCGAGGTGAACGCCTAGGTAGGGGAACTTCAAACAGTTTAGTGCAAGTAGAGAGAATGTTTGTCTATTAAAAGTAAACGTTACCTGTTTACTCTTTTGTTCGTTTATTGTAATTCGCCAGTCAAAAAGCCAGGGAATCTGGAATGACTAAGAATAGCGTTATCGTCGGCGAACGTTGACGTTGCTAGTTTTTCGTTTGTAGGAATATCCGCTGCATACAGAACGTATAGACAAGGGCCAAGTGCGCTTCTTTATGGAATTCCAACTTCGATGATGTAGCTGCGAAGTAACAGCCTTTTGTAGACGTACGACTCAAGAAGCTTGTGTGTGTATATTTCCAAATGCGTTTTAATTTTGATGAATAAGTCCATTAGGCCAAACTAGGTCGAAAGCGTGAGAAACATCGAGAAAAATAGCGCTTCAGTTTTCTAAATGTCTTATGTTATTATGTTCCCTTGCTCAATGGTACCATGGTTTCTTTGGAAGCCAAGCTGGTGTGCCGGGATAGTATTGTGAGAGTATTCCATTTATGGTATTATGCGAGTTAACAGGAATTTTTCCAATATATTAGGCAAAAAGATAGAAGGCTTATCTGTTTGTACCATGACGGATTTGTGTGGTGTTTTCCGGGCTTCGCTATTATTATAATAATGGATCTCCATGATTAATGATTCCATTGAATAGTTTAGAGACGACCTCATTTAAAAAGTTCGATAAACATCTTTGGGGTCAGTAGGTCACCACATGGAACGCCCGGGCGAGACTAGTGTGGCGCACATCCGAAAATATTAAAAGGGTACAATGGATACTGCGATAACGGACCAGGCAAATAAAACTGCATCGAATAGAAATGACGAAGAAGACCAGAGATCCACAAATATAAAAGAACAAACAAATTTTTTTTTTTGTATTTTTTTTTAACGTTTTGAATTTGAAAATTTTTTTTCTTAAGATAAGCGCACTGATACCCAATTGGCAGCTTAATGTAATCCGTTTTATACAATTTTAAACAATATTTAGTCTAAGCATTACTTAGGGGAAGAATTTTTTTTTTATTTGCTTATGTTGAGGATGACGAAATGGCTAGGTCAAGATCCGGTCTGGTAGGTCTTGAGGGTGGTGTGTTTTAAGTCTTCTCTTGAAGACATTGGCACATTTGACAAAGGACAGCAGTGTCATCAGCGTAGGTCGCAATCACTTCAGTGATTGTAGTTTTTTTAGGCATGTCTTCTATCTGAAGATAGAGTATAGAGTAGGGCCGAGGTCGCTACCTTGGGGAATACCAGCAGAGATCGGTTGACGACTTGTATCCATCAGCAGATACGTGGAATGTGCGTTATTCCAGGAAGCTTTTCCAGGACGAGGTGGAACTGCTGTGGCGTAAGAAGACTTTTGGCTTTATGCAGGAGCCAGGTGTGCCACACTCTGTCAAAAGCCTGTTGAATGTCGAGGAAGGCCGCAACTGCATACTCCTTCTTCTCAAAGGCTTCTAAAGCAAAGTTATCAACTCCGTGCAATTGCTCAGGAGTTCCATGTTGAAGACGAAAGCCAAACTGGAATTCCGGGATCGCACTGATGACATTCTCAAGAGTAAGTTGCCTGTTTAAGATCAGCCTTTCCATGATTTTTCCCAGAGATGGTAAAAGACTAATGGGCCTGTATGAGTCCGAGACAATGGGCGATTTTCTTGAGTTTGGGATCATATGTATGTTTGCCGATTTCCAAACTTTCGGAAAGTATTCTTTCAGTTAGTACGCTGTTGAACAAAGTCATCAGGAATTGCAAGGATTGATCCGGTAAAAGTCGGATCGTCCTTTTGTCCAAAAGGTCTTCCCCGAGAGTTTTCTTTGGCGAAAGTTTACCTACAAGTCTTTCACTTCTGTCAGTGAGACAGGGTTAGCAGACAGACTTATTTGATATGGAGGTTCCAGGAACTCTTCAACTTGTCGACCTATGATTTCAGGCACTCAGGCACTTCGTAAGGCTTGAAGCGTTCCTCAAGGTTGTTAGCAAACGCTTCAGCTTGTTCTAGGCTCGTACGGCACCAGCCACCTGAGGGATTTCTTATGGCTGATTTTGGGGTGGGCCTAGCCTTATACCGCTTTGTGATACGCCACAGCGAATAGTTAGAAGTAGCATCTGTGTCAAGATTTTCTAAAAATCTGTCTATAGATACTTGTTTTCTTCGTGAGAGTGCCTTGCTTAGACAGTTAGCTAGCCGATTGTGTATCTGATGGACGTCTCCCGTTCTTAAATATTCTCTTCTTACTGGGTGGAAGCTGGGGATGTCTAGAAGTCTCTGTATGTTGATGATTGCTGGGTAGCCTGGTATATCATGCGCATGAAAAGTCTGATGGCATTGTCAATGTCGGAAGGTTCCTGGATTAGTATGTTAGCCTCGCTCAGCTGTTCTAGGCGGACTTTGAAAGCGTTTAAAAACTTCTCCCCCGAGGGGAGAAGTACAAGCGCTGTGGTTTTCTCTCAGGTGTTGCATGCAGTATGGCCATGATAGGAGTGTGATCCGTGGAGAGTTCATGGAGTGTTACCCCTTCTACAGGCTCGTGAGTTTCCCCACCATGTATATTTGGCGTTATAATCACCGCTAGCAATGAACTTACTTCGAAATCCGGCCAGCAAGGATTCAAATTCTGATTGAACCCATGTTTCTAGAGATAGATAAATCGCCACAAATGTGACATTCCCTTTCGAAGTCTGTAATGTGACGCTCGCTATCTCTCTATCGTTGCTAAAGGCGGAGGGCAGGGGGATGTGACTTAGGAAATCCTTTATAATAACTGCAGAGCCACTTCTGCTGTTGCTGTGTGTTTCTGTAGCAAGCATTATGTCTAAGTTATGAGCGCTGAGGAATAATCGAAGCTCGTCAGATACTCTGACTAGTCCACGAGCGTTCCACAATCCGATATATAGTGATGGTTGAATCATTTCGGCAATCGCGCAATGAGAGCCTGGATCAGCTCTCTGAAAGCTTTGTTGGACTCTGCATTTTCCTGCATCATAGGGTAGGGTTGAGCCAGTTCTTGGGCCTCTCTCTTTGGGTCGAGCTATATCAGCATACGATATATTCGTTCTTAAGGCTTCAGCTGGTATGATTCCACGCGAACCGCATGCTAAATGATTGGTTGTCGGGAGTCTAGGCCTCGGCTTTTGTTTTTTATTTTTTTCTATTTAGACTGAGTAACCTATATCTGTCGTGGCGTGGCTACCGCCACAGTTTACGCACAAGCATGTATCGCTCACACAGAGTAAGGAACCAGTAGCGTGAGGCCCATTACATTTACCACACACAGGGTCCAGGACACAGTAGTTCTTCGAGTGCTCAAAAATTCGACATCTTTTACATTGAAATAATTCCTTTCTCGGAATTTCTTTAATTTCCTTTCTATTCCTTTCAGTAAATCCCGGTTCAATCTGTGATTTCGGAACATTTGAATGGATTCTTTTGAGAACTACTGTGAAGGCCTTGTCTTCTTTAAGCTAATGGTGCCAAAATTGGCAGTTAAGCGATGTCAGTGTTTTTACAGCTACCCGAAAAGCGTCAGAGTTGGCTTAAAATATTCTTGAAACAGTAAATTTTGAATTGCGAATGTTGTAGTTTGAGGAGCCAATGCTATGATCAAGAGATTTTTCTAATAAGACCGTATTGCTTACGTTCGGTACGCAAATAGCAGGAATCTTGTTGGATTTTGATCATCACCACCAGGTGATATTGTATGCCCATTGATAGAGTCAACATTCTCCAGGTTCAGGAACAAACTAATAAAATTATTAAAGTGATCAAAATATATACCGATATACATTTTAGGTACATTTCGACTAATATACTGCATGCCAAGAAAAGAATGGCAAGGGCAAAGATTTAAATCGATAGCTTATAATCTGAAGACTAGTTCGCGTAAAAACAGAGACAAGAACATCTCCCCCGAAAAATTTATCAAGAATCGATTGATTGAGATCACCTACCTTAAAAACCTATGTTTAAAAAAAAACAATTCTTCTTTTTTTTATTGTATATTATTTTTATTTTGCAAATAACCGCTTAAAATATACTTGTTTTATATATACATATATAAACCTAAAAAATTATAGGGCTAGTTTATTTTCAGATAAACTTTATTTTATATTATTCCTGAAATATTTTGTTCTCACCAAATGGCTTGTTTTGCACTAACAACAGAAATTTTAATTTTTTTCTATTTTCTGTTGCTTAAAAATATATCCAGCCAATTTTCTATTACCGGCATATTTTTTTGACTCCAATTAATTTCTTCTCTAATTATTCGAAGGGATCGCTCGATTATATGTTTTGCACTACCAAGTTGTCCTTTATGGTTTTCGTATAAGCTCTTGACTTTATCATATCCATTTTGGGTTGAAATTCTTCCAGTTGCAGAACCAATTAATCTATCCCAAAGGTTTGAATTGTGATAAAACCTTTAAAAGAAAACAAAATTATAAAGGTGACATTAATACTTTAAATATTTTGTCTTAGTGGCGATACAAAATATGTGTCCCTTACGACGAACAAAAATTGAATAGCAAGTCCTCTGCGGAAAATAACTGTTAACCGATTAATATGTTTGTGTAAATATGTACACATGTGTATATATGCACAGTACAAATGTTTGTGTGTGAATGTTAGTAAGTTTTGTTTCATTTGCCTTTAGGACATTTGGATGTGCAGACAAAATAATTAAAATGAAAATGGGACGTGAAATAAACAGATAAACAAAATGGGAACTTTCAAAAAATGTATCGTCGTTTACCATTAAACCACATTTTTATAAAAATCTAAGGCTAGAATTGTTAAAGTTGAGTGCCACTACGACACCATGTACTCTTAGCCATCAAGGATCTGTTGAAAGAGAATTTTCAGCTTTGCAGTTTATTCTAAGCGAACGACAGAGTTCAATACCCAAAACCGTAACTATTTATTAGTTGTTAAGCTGAACTCTAACTGAATATAATACAACAATAAAATTTATAAAAAAAAATTTTTTTTTCATTCAAAAACCACTGTGCATCGAACAAAATATAAAGTGTTGAAAATACATTTGAAATGACATTTTCGGTCAGTCGGTTCTTTATTGAGTCTCTCTGTGCCGAAATATATTTTGTTCGGTTGTTCTCGTGAACACAAGAGGGGAAAAAAAGTTAAAAATTATTAGCGAGCTATGGTTAAGAGCAGGGGTGCCCAGTCCCATTGCTCTCGGTGCTCCTTTGTTGTTGGAATTGCTCTTTCATATGGGAAACGAAATTTCATATTCGTGTGTTCCTCCCAGCATAGGCAAAGCCCAAATACAAAAACAATTTTTCGTGTTTTCCCTTTTCTCCTCAATCGTGCCAATCCGAACGCATTTTGTTGTTGGATTGCCGAAAACTTATCACTGCACTATGGACAAAAAGTCAGAAATTTGTGCATAAAGTTAAAGTAGTTATATTTTTAATATACAAAATATAATAAATTTTCCAATTAAGCATACTCCGGATAAAATTAAACTCTTTCCAAAAAATTTTTAAAAGCTGCAATTTGAATTTCCGGCTCAAACAAAGTCAGCGGATTGATTGCTAGCTTGATTTCTAAAAATGGAACCGTGAAAATTTATAAACATTGCATCTATGTTGTGGCTTTTTCGTGAAAGTACAAACAATTTGTAAATATGGAAAAAAATCGTACAGGTATGTAGATTAAACTTTGCGCGGTTGTTTATAGATGTTCTATGTATTTTGTTGTGTCTGTTCAATTGTTGTTGGTGTATTTTTAGAACTAAAATTAAACAATTGTAGCTGTGTTTTGTGGAGTGTAACTTTTTTACCGCGCGCTCCTGCGAGCAACTAAAACTGGTATGTTCTTCTTAAAAATATATAGATTAAGGCGTTAATAATTTCCTTTGCCCGTTTTTGCCCCTTTCCGAAAAAACAATACATGTTGCAAGTGTTTATGAGTTCTATCATGCAGCGCTCCTCAAAGTTTGGGGGGAGAGCCACTGGAAAGACGACGCTGTTAGAGGTTTAAATTAAATATTATAACTAATAGAACCATATTTAGTAAAAGTTTTAGTTCTTTTTATGAAAAACTTAAGTTTATGTAAAAATTAAGTAAAAATGCCAGTAAGGCCAACTCTTGATGTAGGCGGCGGCCATAGGTGTGGTCAAATTTCCAAAACAATAAAATTCGAAATGCGACAAAAATAGTTCAAGCATATATGCAAAATTTGAGCCCAACAAATCTTAAATTGGAGATTATGCAAAAAAACGGCATTTCTGCCCGAAGTGGGCGTGGTCAAAATAAAAAAAAAAAAAATTCGACAAAAATAGTTTAGGCGTATGTGAAAAATTTGAGGCCAGTATCTCTAAAACTGGAGATTCTGCCAAAAAACGTCGTTTCTGCCCATAGTGCATTCGCTTAAGAGGAAGAGAGAGAATTTGTCCCAATACGAGTCCAAAATATTTAGTGTGATACATCCATCTACGGAGTAGAAGGTTTATTGGCCAAATTTGACTAAGAAGGATATAACCGATTGGTCGTTCTGTCATGTGTTATGTGTCCAAAATAAAAAACAATTCTCCAAAAAATTATGGTAACTGAATTAAAGTGTTTAGCAGTAGTATTAGCCAGTATTGAAAAATGCAGAATGAAGGACACCCCTTTACCGATCATGCAAGTTTAAACTTTTTAAAAAAGAAGAACGACTTGGGATGTAGACTAGATAGTTGACCCATAAAGGGGCAGGGACACCAGTTGACCACAGAGCACCGAAAGGGAAATGGAAATGTTGTGGCCGATGCCATCTCTCGATCTTTCGCAGGAAAAGTGAACGTTGCCATTTTAAACATCGAAGTATCCCCCGAGTTAAGAATACTATCTCGGGTATTCTACTACTACTACAGAATACTATCTATACTACTATACTTTTAAAAATTCTCATATTTTTAGATCCCTTCTCGAAACTCACCTTCTTGAAGGCGGTAAATAAATTTACATTTGAGATAGTTATTAAAATACCGACAGAGGATATTTTCGATTGTTTTGGAGTTCTACAGGTAGCTGTTACTAATAATGTAACAATGTTATTACATTATTAAGGGTATGTTATGTACATTTAAGATTCCTATTTTTATACCCTTGCAGAGGGTATTATAATTTTGGTCAAAAGTGTGCAACGCAGTGAAGGAGACATCTCTGCCCTATAAAGTATATATATTTTTGATCAGGATCACCTCCTGAGTTGATATGAGCATGTCCGTCTGTCTGTCTGTTTCTACGCGAACTAGTCTCTCAGTTTTAAAGCTATCGTCTTGAAACTTTGCACACATCATTTTTTTTCTTAGCGCGCAGTATATAAGTCGGAATCTGCCGACTATATCCTATAGCTGCCATATAACTGATTGATCGGAAATGATATAACTTTGGTGTTTTTAGAGTTAGAGAGTTCAAATTTGACTATTTGAGAGAGCTATTTTTGGCAAAACATTACGACATGCCAAATTTTATAAGGATCGGCCGACTAAATCTTATAGCTGCCATATAACTGAACGATCGAAAATGACCCAACTTTCGTGTTTTTGAAGATAGAAAGCTGAAACTTGGTACAGATTATATCTTTGGTCAGTTAACCCGACCTACCAAATTTCATTACGATCGGATATCCCATAGCTGCCATATAACTAAACGATCGGAAATGGTATTTGGTAGAAATATCAACTTTTGTATTTTTGAAGATAGAAGCTTGGGACTTTTTTTAATTAATTTGTTTTATTATGATGTAATCATAAGGGTCGGCCAACTATATCCGATGTTTAAAATAAAAAACATTATTTATTTATTTTTAAATAATAATTATTATATTAATAAATAATAAATTACTAATATTAAATCTGATGAATAAATTATAATAAAGATGAATAAATTAATATCTGATGAAAAACGGGAAAAAAATAATTAATTAATTCATACAGGGCAAAAATAATAAAAAAAAAAAAATTGTTGTAAGACATAATTATTTAAATTTAATTAATTAAAAATATTTTATATTATTAAAAAAATTTATCTTATAACTTATTAATAAAACCAAATTATTTAAAATAAATATATAATAATAAACAGAAACCAAAATCCGCGACCCTTGATGACTTAAGAAGAATATAAAATGCGAGAGTAAAAAGCATTTGCCGGCTAGAGGAATGTTTGGAAGATGGGTCAGTTACTTTAGTAAAGACCGAGCTAGAGTGCAGGCTTCAGGTCTTAAATGAGACAATTTTTAAGGCAAATGAGTTGCAACACCAGATCGAGTAATGAGATGGGGAAGATGAATTTGGAGTCGAGCTAGAAAAATTAGAAATAACAACTAAGGAAAGGGTGATGTCATTATTAAATACCTTTACGGTAGCTTAAAATTCCCCTCCAGCTACTGCAATTTCTGCAGCCCCAACTCGAGCTCGACTTCTCCAAAATTCCAAAATTGCCAACATTCACTGGAAACTATTTGGAGTTTACAAATTTTATAAGTCTCTTTAAGACATTAGTAGACAAGGATGTGAACATTCCTGTTATCGAGAAATTTAACCATTTAATTTCTTGCCTCTTTGGTGAAGCCTTAGGAACTGTCAAGGCATTCCAAGTCACCGAGAGTAATTATGACAAAGCTATCGTTAGTCTAAAAATAGTTTACGATAACGAATATCTCATCTTTGCGAACAAAATAAGCAAAGTAATCAGTCTTCCGAAAGTTTCCCTGCGTCGTTGTTGAGAGGTCTTATCTACATAGTGTCATCGATTTACGGGTCATTGTTATCATTAGGAGATGACACTAAAACTGCAAATTCCATGAGTAGATCCAGTGACTTAAGGAATATTTATTTTGAATTTATGGAAGAATACGAGTCCTTAGGTCCTACGGCTTCAAAGCCTATCGACCAAGCTAAGAGTCTTTTTTGACTCATCTTATAAGACATCAACACAGAAGTGCGTAAACGATTTTTTCATGGTTGGTCCTACAATCCGGGAGTAATTATATTTCTCTTCTTGGGTTTCGGCTGAACCGCTTCGCTCTAATTGCTGACATAAAAAAGATGTACCGCCAAGTAATAGTAAATGAAGCCGGTAGGCGATACCAGTTGATAGTGTGGAAGAAAGACCCATCAGAATTCTTCAAACTGGGCAAGCTCAACACCGGTACATTATGCACTGCACTGCTTCATATGGTTAAATTAATGCTTCAGTCATGGGTGAAAGGGCGACGAAGCGGAACATTATTTCGCAGCTGTTTGACCCCCTTGCCTTATTTAACTTTAGTTAAATAAACTAGATTGGGATGACTCAATTGCACTGCACTTGGAAACAGCGTGGAACATTATACAGATTGCCTTGTCGCAATTAGAGGATATCTCAATTCCGAGAATCGTTTTCACTGAGCCGATATCACCTATTCAAA